CCTCAATAAAGTTGATTCCAAACACAAAGCAAACAAAACAGAAAAGGTGTCTATATGTGGATTTCTGATCACGTAGTCCACCGTGAAAATATTTGACCACCTCTTATTTCAAATACCAAAACGAACCTTGTAAACCTGTCAGAAGTCTGGTCTTCCTGACAACAAAAGGACTTGCAGCCTGTGGGTCAAGCAGAACTTGAAACTGGGGTTACCTTGGAGAGAAATGAAGTGACGTCTATAGAGCATCTTCTCAGATCTGCATAGGTGCTTCCAAAGCATGTGAAATGTAGTGCTCTGTTCGAGAATTTCGCTTAGGGAAGAGATCTCTGTTGTGGTGGGAGTAGCTTACATGAGAGAGGCCTGAATGTGTCAGAAGTGCTCTACAGGGGACAAGTCAGGAGCTTGTGAATTGCCACAAGAAGCCATTTGGAAGCTTGAATGCAGCGAACCCACTGATTGGAGACAGTAGTAGGATAAGTTTGTGGATTTCCTCATGGGAACCTGACACATGACTGTCTAAGTCTGCAACAGAGTCTGCAAATGTTTATAACAGAGTTGGTGGCTTGGCCCAGGATGACCAGAGTAGAAAAAAAGAAGCTAGCAAAGAGCAGGAGTCGGATTACCAGGACCCACTGGCTAGAAATTAGCAGACAATTTGCAAGGCTCAAGGTTTGCCTGTGATGAATGTAAAAGTACATCTTTCCTACCTAAATCTGCAGAACTCATTTGAGTTTCTGGGTTTCACATCAATACAATATTATTTTTATAACATATAACTTTAAAAAAAATTATCTCAGTGTAACAAATGGGAAGAACAATGCTCTCAGAGGTCAGTTGAGAAAGGAGAAGGAACCACAAAGGCTGGCTCTCAGCCTGTTGGAATCTGTATACTGCTAGTGTGCATTCACTTTTCTGTTGTGGATTGTGGGTGCGTTCCAGAAGATCAGATATTTGTGTAACTATGTATTCTCAAGCCAAACTTTGTTTGAGTGAGATTCTGTTTTGGAAAAGTCTATTGTGTGACACTTCACTCAAGGTGGTCAAAATTTAGAGATAAATTTAAGTAAAAATTTCAAGTATCACTGTTAAAAATTTACTTTCTAAATATTAGATTCACAGTTTATAAAGTTTTTAAACTGACATTTGGCTTTTACTTTAATTCTCTTCAGAAATTTTTAGTGCTAAATTCTTGAATACTTATTTCTACATCCTAGGGGATAATTGAGGCCAATATTTGGGGCAAGGAGAAAGAAAATCAGTCTTCCTTATAAGTAAGAAATATTTCTGTTATCCCATTAAATATAAGCTGTGCCTTCCTAGCAAACACAAAATCACCATGTTGCCAGGCAAAGAAAAGTTAAGTCTGGGTTTATCTTTTCTCTTTTATTTTCTCACCTTAGTGTTTGTCAAAATATTGACGAACTATAGTAAATTTTTCTTGTAAGAATAAATAACTAATTAGCCTATAGTATTGGCTTCATTGTTTTTTAATGTATACATTAGAGTAGGCAGATTGCTGAATGAATTTTAGAACAAGGTTTACAATCATTATGATGAGACCCATTGGTAGATCATATCAGTTTAGTAGATTGTGATCAGCATTTTAAAAAATGAAATGATGGAAAATGTTAGAGCTTGTCACACATAGAAACCATAAATATTGATTTGTGAAACAGTTTTCAGCTATTTGTGCAGTTGCCTCTGCGTGTGTGTATGTAGAGAGCGAGAGAGGGAGACAGAGAGAAAGAGAAACAGAGAAACACACATACACACAGAAAACTAGGTTTAAAGATTAAAACACATTTCTTGCTGTGGATTCGGAAGAGCAAAAATATTACAGTTTATGAAAGTATTTTAGCCTGGCCTGTGTGGCTCAGTGGATTGAGCGTCATCCCTTGGACTGAGAGGTCCCAGTTCAATTCCGGGTCAGGGCACATGCCTGGGTTGCTGGCTCCATCCCCAGTAGGAGGTGTGCAAGAGACAGCTGATTGATGTGTCTCTTTCACATCAATGTTTCTCTCTCTCCCCCTTCCTCTCTCTCTAAAAAAATCAATATAAATACATTTTTTAAAAGTGTTTTAGAGGATCACCAAGGAGTTTGTGATGCCTGAGATAATTGAGAATCCTCTCTTTGGAGGAATAAATAATATATGATTGTTTAGCTGAATACTTTTTTTTTTCCCATTTGTTAAGTATCCCTAGCCAGAACCGAACCCAGGACTCTCTGGTCCACAGACCGACACTCCAACCACTGAGTCAAACCGGCCAGGGCTAGCTGAATACTTTGAATCACAAATTACATTACAGTGGAATTGACTAAGAATATTAGGTCCACAGATGACTCTCCTGTGTCTTTTTCTGAAGTTATTAAACACTTATTAAATTCTTTGCTTAAACAATATACCTTCAAATACTATGTCCATATATTTCTGGGACATTTCAAAAATCAAAATATCATTGAATCTATGCGGTTCATATTTTGATGAAATATAAATATTCCCATCAGTCTTTTCTTATTTTTTTATTTCCTTTGCCTAGAATGCTCTGCTTCCAGCTGGCCATATGAACAAGTACTTTGTAAAATTCAGACTTCATCTTTAATATCTCCTCTAGAGAAGGGGTTTCTGAACCACCAGATCTAAAACACACCCCTTCAGTTTGTTACATATATTTTTTCTTTTTAATAGCACTTATCACCATCTTAAATTATCTTGTTTAATAAAAGATTTGTTGCCCTGGCCGGTTTGGCTCAGCGGTTAGAGCGTCAGCCTGCGGTCCGGAGAGACCCGGGTTCGGTTCCCGCTAAGGGCACATACTTCGGTTGCAGTTTGTCCCTGGCCCTGGTTGGTCGTGAGGGTGGCAGCCACTCGATGTGTCCCTTCACGTCGATGTTTCTCTCTCTCTCTCCCTTCCTCTCTCTCCCTCCCACTCTATCTGTGCAAAAAATGGAAAAATATCCTCAGGTGAGGATAAAAAAAAAAAGAAAAAAAAAAAAATAAAAAAAAAATAAAAAATAAAAAAAAGATTTGTTATCTTCATTATTTTCCACACCACTCAATCTAGTCTACCCATCTGCCTTGGCCGGATTGGCTCAGCAGTTAGAGCGTCAGCCCATGGACTAAAGAGTCGCAGATTCAATTCCAGTCAAGATCATGTACCTTGGTTGCAGGTTCGTCCCAGCCCTGGTTGGGGTTGTGTGGGAGGCAACCAGTCGATGTGTCTCTCACATCTATGTTTCTCTCTTTCTCCCCCCACCCCCAACTCTATCTGAAGATAAGTGGGAAAATATCCTCGGGTGAGGATTAAAATAAAGAAAGAAAGAGAAAGAAAGAGGAAGGAAGGAAGGAGGGAAGGAAGGAAGGAAGGAAGGAAGGAAGGAAGGAAGGAAGGAAGGAAGGAAGGAAGGAAGGAAGGAAGGAAGGAAGGAAGGCTACCCATCCACTTGTCCAGAATGTAAGTGCCATGAGAGCAGGGTCCTCACCTGTCCGGTCCACAGCATGCCTTTGAAAAGTGTCTGCCATATAAATATTTGTTTATTCGCTAACTGAATGTCAGAAATTATGACAAAACTGTCTGTTGTTATATAAAATCTTTCCAAAAGTGAAAATCAAATGGCTACAGCAGACCTGGCCAGTGTGGCTCAGTTGGTTGGGTGTTGTCCCGAGCACAGAAATGTCACTGGTTCAATTCCCAGCCGGGGCACATGTCTGGGTTGTGGGCTCCATCCCCCAGTGGGAGGCATGCAGAAGGCAGCAGATTGATGTTTCTCTCTCACATAGATGTATCTCTGTCTCTCTCTCCCTCTAAAAATTAATTTAAAAATCTTTAAAAAAGTAAAGATAGCTACAGCAATATAACATTGATAAAAAAATTGTTTTTGGCCTGGCTCTGTTCTGATTTAGGCCTTATTCATTTATTTTATATTTACCCTGAGTCGGAGTGTTTATATTGCAAACCTTTAATGATTTAAAAAATAATCAGGAAAAAAAAAAGCTTATTACCAACCCTGACAAGCAATGACATTTAAAACTGAAATCAACAGCAATTACATATCATGAAGGTAATTAAGACGTGGCGTCTGTAACTGAGGAGAATGCTTCAGTCCATCACTGTGTGCCCATCTGCTGTTTTAGGGGTCAATACAAATTCTCAGTCCACTAAAATCTATTATATATACTACTGAGTTATTTTTCAGTACACAAATGAAGAGAAATGGATGATTATTATCTCTATTATAATCTGGGAAAGTAATATGCTTGCCTAGGTGAACTTATCTGAATGGACAATAGGTATATATAAAGCATGCTGAGCCTTTGAGCTAAGAAGAAGTTAACTGTATATTAAAGGTTAAATACTTAAAAAAATCTATTATTTGGGGGAAATTTTGCCTCTTTGGGTAAATTTAGTCTTTAAAATTTCAGAGACATATAACTTTTAATATGCTAAATGAGATTTTACTAAAAATAATATTGAGACTACATTGGCTATATACCTTTCCTACCTAACATATTATTGGATTGTAACCATTACTTAAAATACTTCAGTTATTTAGAAAAAATAAAACAAAATACTTTAGTTATTTGGCAGAAAGATACTGTAATAAATATGTTACATCCATTTTAATACCAAGGTACAATTAATTACTTTCAAGTTGAAATTTGGTTTATTTATATACTCCCTCCTTCAGATTCTCATCAAGTGCTACCTTGTTTATGTTATAACAGATGCATGAAACACCAAAGAGGAAATATGTCAAATCAAGTTGTTTATTATTTGATCTTGAAGATGATCCAGGGAAGCAAATGTCCAATGTTTAAATTCTGAGGCCTAAAATAAATATTTCAGAAAGACTCTCATCTTTTGTTGATTGCTAAGATATACCACAGAATCTCACTTCCTCACTACTTAATGCATTGTTAAGAAATGAAGAATTTATTGAAAAAATTGCTTTATTTGACAAAATGGACGGTCTGCTGAAATAGGCATTTAAAAAATAGGCTGTGCTCACTTCAGCAGCACACATATTAAAATTGGAATGATACAGAGAAGGTTGGCATGGCCCCTGTTCAAGTATGACGCCCGAACTTGTGAAGCATTTCATCTTTTGGTTATATATAAAAGTTGTCAAGAGAGTAGATCCTAAGTGCTCTCTTCTCAAGAAAAAATAAACGTATATTTTGTAATGATAGGAGACTATGGATGTTAACTTGTGGTAAACATCTTGTGATCTATGTAGGTCAAATCATTATGTTATATACCTTAAACATATGCTGTGCTGTACAGCAATTATATTTCAGTAGAACTGGAAAAATAGATTGATTATATCACAAAAGCATCAAATTGAACAGTGATAATTACAATATTAGCAACAAAATAATGTTAGTCTATTTTATTGAATACTGAGTTAGTGGCAGATTCTGACCCAGGTACTTTCTCAATAAAAATCTCTAGAAAGTATTTAAACCAATTATACTTTTTTCCAATTTACAGACACAGAAACTTATATTTTTCCCAATTAACCACATAAAGACATACTAAAATTGTATGACTGTTAGAGAAAGAACTTTATTTTTAAAATGGACTGGTGAATACATTATTGGGGAGGTAATATGTTCTTTCTATTGCTGGTACAAAAAGTATGACTGGTTAAAGATTGATGGATGGATAGGGTTGACTTGCTAAGACAACCCTATTTACCCTCAATTTCTTTTATCCTCACCGGAGGACATTTTTTTGCATTTATCTTCAGATAAAGAAGGAGGGAGAAAGGGAAGAAGAGAGAGAGAAACATCGATGTGAGAGAGACATATCGAGTAGTTGCCACCCACATGACCCCAACCACGGCTGGGGACAAACTGCAATCGAAGTACATGCCCTTAGCAGGAACCGAACCCGGGACTCTCTGGTTCGTGGGCTGATGCTCTAACCACTGAACCAAACAGGCCAGGGCTACCCTCAACTTCAAGTCTATTTTCAAGAATGATCTAACTTGTAAAAGTTTCAAAAGGTTGTTAAGAAAGAATGGTCCTGATAAATACAGTGAGTGTCTTACTCTGTTAAAACATGACAAGACTTAAAAAGTGACTAATGTGACAACACAATTAAAAAAATTTTAAGGGCATGGTCTTTGGGTTTTAAACTCCATTATATCCACTTTAGTTTCCTTCAAAAAACATTGAATGGGGTCTCTAATGGTGTTCTATAAGGATGTCTGTGATAAAATGCCATTTCTAAAAGACACTAACCTATTTGCAGCTCATTCTCACAAGGATCACACACTACAGATGTAAAGCTACACAGCCACTGTCATAATACCCTTTCATTCCATTCTCCTAATAAACATAATATTGAATGGGGGACAAGTAGATTTCCATTTCATAACTGGATACATAGAATTACAGATAAAGTAATTAGTGAAGCCAAGGGTCCATAATTGTCACACTAATGGAACTCAAATAAGTATGTTTTTTTTGTTGTTGTTTGTATCTTAATCAGAGGACATTTTTTTCCCGTTTTTTGTTCAGATAGAGTGGGAGGGAGAGAGCAGAAGAGAGAGAGAGAGAGAGAGAGAGAGAGAGAGAGAGAGAAACATCAATGTGAAAGGGACACATCGAGTGGCTGTCTCCCACAAGACCCAACCAGGGCCAGGGACAAACTGCAACCGAGGTACATGCCCATACCAGGAACCAAACCAGGGTCTCTCTGGACTGCAGGTCGATACTCTAACTGCTTAGCCAAACCGGCCAGGGCCAATGTGTATGTCTTTCAATGAAAGCAACAACAAATATGCAAATAGCATTAAAATTTTTGAGACTAGCTATCTATGATATTGCTCTATGTAACTCTTACACATTTACTAGTGTGTGGTATACTCCCCTACTGGCAGTGGTTATTTCAGGATGATCCAATCAGAGTGAAGCATAGATGTGTATTTATTCATTGCAAGAAGTAGTTTCTTCCTATTGAAAAGGGAAGCTTTGTAATACAGGAAGTGCAGGCATTCATGCCCACCTTGAGGGAACTCTGCAATACAGAAGAAGGTAAAGCAATTGCTGAACAATTGCTTAGGCTCCTTGGTTAAGCCATGTTTGGAGACAGATTAGTTTTGGATCTTTCACTTGTGTTCAACTGACCTATTTAATTTGCTGAATTTTTTTACTGCTTGCCACTGGAAATGGTCTGGCTAATAGTCACCATATCTATAAAAAGGACATTTACGGAATTTCTCTCAACTTTGATATGAAGATTATTACTTTGTCTATCTTACTTCTGGCATTCGACATAGTATTTCTATAAATGTTCATTATTGATCATTGAGTGGAGAGAGACAGGGTTTCCTGCAAGAATCTGTTTCATTTATTTTTATCATTAGGGAATTTTCCACTACATAATTGAGGCAAGGGAAACATGTACAGCATATAGATTTAATGTCATCAGCCCTCCATCCAAAATAATAATGTCACTGAAAATAACATTTTCAAAGTTAACCCACAAAAATGTTCTCAGCCCTAAAATACTTGGGCTACCTTTCTATGCTCTAGAAGTATTGAAATTGGAATTAAATTATACAGTAGGTTGAATAACCTTTGATATTTACCTAAACACTGATTAAATGATCTAATAGAAAAGTATTCTCTGTTTTAAAAAATTACTGAAAAGACTTCCGGTCAAGATGGCGGGTAGGTAAACGTGGTATCACGTCCTCTCACAACCACATCAAAGTTACAACTAAACTACAGAACAACCATCATTCAAAACCGCCTGAAATCAAGCTGAATGGAAGTCATACAACTACGGAATTAAAAAAAAAAAAAAGCAGCTACATCCAGACTGATAGGACGGGCGGCAGCGCGAGGGGGGGCGGCGGCGAGGCAGCGGTGCACAGCGGCCAGACGGGCTGGTCCCACACCCAAGCGTGGTGGATAAAAATCAGGAGGCTCCCGCGGCTGGGAAGGTCCTTCCTGAGGACTGAGGGGTCCCCGTCCCACACCAGGTGCCCCGCTCAGGGTGCCAGTGCCAGGAAGAGAATCCCCATAACTTCTGGCTGGAAAAACCAGCGGAAACTGAGGCTCAGGGAAGCTGAAGCGGCTGGAGCCCCAGGCAGCTCCTTAAAGGGCCCAGGCACGGACTTATCGGACTCACTCCCTCTAAGCTTGGAGGGGAGGCAGCTCGAGGGGCACCAGAGACATACAGGGAAGAACTGAGCTGTTTGGCACTGGAGCGAGAGCTGAAGAGGGGGCTTCCTCTGGGACAAACGTGCTGTAAGAGGCCTTTGTTCCTTTGGTGAGCCCTTCCCTGGGGCGGCAGACAGTCTCCATATCTGGGACTCCAGCAACCTGGCTCACACTGGTTGCCCCGCCCTGCTGACTCCCTGAGGCCCCGCCCCACCCAACTTTCAAGCCCACCCAAGCTGTTGCCACTTGCTTAACCATAGGATTGGCTGGTCTTGGATCCTGCTTCAGGTTTTTCCTAAATTCTTTCAAACGAGCAGCAGCATCGGGTCTCAGCGAGCCCCATACCTCTCATTAAGTAATACACAGAAACAAACACAGGGAGGCAGCTAAAATGAGGATACAAAGAAACAGGTCCCAAATGAAAGAACAGAACAAAACCCCAATAAAAGAACTGAGCGAAAGGGAAATAAGCAACCTAACAGATACTGAGTTCAAAATACTGCTTATAAGGATGCTCAATGAACTTAGTGAGAATCTCAGTGAACTTAGTGAGGGCCTCAAGAGCATAAAAAGACCAGTCAGAAATCATGGATACACAGTTAGAATTAAAGGAGGCATTAACTGAAATACAGAATAATTTACACAGCTTCAATAATAGAGTATGTAAATCCAAGGAGCAAACCATCGATTTGGAATATAAGGAAGCAAAAAATGCCCAATCAGAACAGCAAAAAGAAAAAAGAATCCAAAAAAATGAGGATAATGTAAGGAGCCTCTGGGACAACTTCAAGCGTGCCAACATTCGCATCTTGGGGGTGCCCGAAGGAGAAGAGAGAGAACAAGAAATCTAAAACCTGTTTGAAACAATAATGGCAGAAAACTTTCCTAACTTTGTTAAGGAAACAGACATACAAGTCCAGGAAGCACAGAGAGTCCCAAACAAGAGGAACCCCAAGAGGCCCACACCAAGACACATCATCATCAAAATGCAAAAGGTTCAAGACAAAGAGAGAATCTTAAAAGCAGCAAGAGAAAGGCAGCTAGTTACCTACAAGGGAGTTCCCATTAGGCTGTCAGCTGATTTCTCAAAAGAAACTTTGCAGGCTAGAAGGGAGTGGCAAGAAATATTCAGAGTGATGAAAAGCAAGAACCTACAACCAAGATTACTCTATCCTGCAAAGCTGTCATTTAGAATCAATGGACATATAAAAACTTTCCCAGACAAGAAAAAGTTAAAGGAGTTCATCACCACCAAACTGTTATTATATGAAATGATGAAGGGTCTTTTTGAAGAAAAAGATAAAATGTATGAACAAACAAAATGGCAATGAATACATATCTATCAACAATGGAATCTACAAACAAAATGAACAGGAAGAACAGAAACATTCTCATAGATACAGAGAACATTTTGTTGGTTGCCATTTGGGAAGGGGGTTGGGGGAATGGGTGAAAAAGGTGAAGGGATTAAGAAGCACAAATTCATTGCTAGACTGACAAACCTCAAAGGGAAAGGGGTTGGGGGGGTGGGAAGAAATAAACCAAAGAACTTATATGCATAACCAATGGACACAGACAATAGTGTGGGAAAAGGTGGGAGGGGGGCAGGAGTGGGAGGAGGGGGTCAATGGGGGAAAAATGTGGAACATCTGTAATACATTTTACATCCAACAATAAAGATTTGAAAAAAATAAAAAAATAAAAAATAAAATAAAAAATTACTGAAAAATAGAAAAATAATCTATCTAAAATATTTTGCAACTAAAACAAAAATTGATTAAAATCAATAAAAATTTGGGAAAAGGGTAAAAATATAGTGTCATTTACTTTGACTTTCATAAATTGGTGTTTAGGCTGTCTGAAGAAACTCTAAGATATAACATAAAAGAATATAAATATATACACATATGTATACATGCACATGTATATACAC